TTAGCTAGCTGTTAGCTCACCCAGCTAACCGGGTTGTAGAGCAGAGTTGAAACGAAGAAGAAGAAGAAGAAGAAGAAGAAGGATGGGTACGCGCTGTTGCTCTTTATCAATCAATATTCACTGCATGTGATCGATACTGATATCGAACGTGTTTGCTAACCATGTAGCAACCGTTAGCCGGCTGGCCCGACTTGTGTGGTTGTTAGCTGAACCGATACGAACCAAACTCCAGCCAAAAAACTGTAACTTTTAGAATAGTTTGACTTATGGAAGGGTTATTGATCAATATGTGTTATATTAATCAATAATATGAGTCAGTGGGAGTTGCAGTTTAATTCGGCGACTGTGCAATAAACCAAACTGTTACTAATAGAGTGAAAAATACAAGTAAAAGGGTTAAAACAGGGAATAACGTCGGGTTGTTTGAGCCTAATAAGTGGATATTTTCAACTGACACACTTTGTTTATATTCAGAGAACCTTCAATCAAAGCTCACATCTTACAATAAGAATTATAATAAGAATAATATAAACAGGAGTTTTATGAGTTGGTTTTAAGTTGCTCATAAACAACACAACCTTAAATTGTGAGATTCTTGAATGGAGTTTGGCAGGGAATTGGAAGCAGACCTAATTGACAGAGCGCTGTATTAATAGTTAATATATTAATAGTAGTAGCAGGTAGTGTAACTCACCAAGGTGTGCCAGCACCTTTACCTGCTGTGACAAGTTCAGATATCCACATTCGACTGTCATTATTATTTCAGCTGCAGACTGGATGAAGCTTTCTGATGATGAAGGCTTTTATTACCCAGCAGCCATTGCACAGGTGTCTCTAATAACATGTTCATTAATGTGCCCCCACAGCCTCCGCTCCCCCCCTCTCCTCCCTGCGCCTCCTCGTCCCTCCCCTCCGCCTGCTGACGGCGGCGATGTGGCAGGTCGCACGCCAGCAGAGCGTGCGGCATTACGGGATGCTGGAGGACTTTGTTTCCCTGGTAACGGAGGCCGTCCCGCAGCTGCTGACGGACAGACAGAGGAGTCTGCTGCTGCTGGCGCTCAGAGCCAAAGTGAGAGTTGCATCATTGAACAGCCTCCAGATGTTAAATCTGTACGATCAAATATTCAAATATTCAAACGTCAGAGCGACACCTTTACTCTGTTCTTGTTCCAGGTGACCCTCTGTGACCCGCGGGCCGCCAACCTGGACAAAATCCACTCTGTCTCCGAGGCAACGGTGAGACGGAGGACTCGTTATAGTGCGTTCCCACCAAAGTGAAGGAAATATTCTCCCTTTAAGGCCTTAAATAATCCGATTAACTGATTCAATAAACGGGTCAAAATGACGTCACGATGAGCAAACAACTCTTAAACTGTTTGTTTTCTGAATGGAGGCATAAACATCAAGGACATAAAACTCTTTTTATCCCAAAAGTTTCTTAAAAAACTCATTGATTGAGAAGCAGAGAGCATGCTGGGAGAATATTCAGCTCAGAAACAACCGGACGTCATGGCCAAATGATCAATCTATTAATGATGAATTGATCGTGAAGAGTTTTTACTTTTTGAGGACTAGCTGTGACCAGCACGCAGTGCATTGTGGGATACGGAGGACCTCCATTATATGGTTGTGTCAGTAAACTCGGGGCTGTTTGTGTCCTCAGCAGTCGGACGAGGAGGTCGCAGGATGCTGCTCCGCTCTGTCGACGCTGACCGAGAGACTGACAGCGAGTCCGGCGGACAGACGGCGCCTCCTGCAGGTCAGTGTGTGGCGCGGCGGCGGTCGGCGGTCGGTGGGCGGCGGCCTCGTTCAGTCCTCGTATAGACGCTGTTTTTCTGTCTGTCGCAGGAAGTGTTCGACCACAGTTTCGACTCCGCCCTCCAGTCTCTGGTGTCTGACTTCCTGTCCAGGATCGAGCAGCTGTTCCCCGTCCCCGACTTCAAACAGGTGAGTACCTTTCCTACAGGTGCTGCAGAGGAAGTGGATTTAATGACAATAAATAACAATGTCAACGATCCTCAGGCTGCATGCTGGCTCGACGCTGCCCCCACTGGTCTGGAGGACTGCCTGCAGGAGGTGGACAGGGAGGACGTGACAGAGCTGCTGGCCAATCAGAGCTGTCTACTGGGGCGAGCAACCAGCACGGGTACAGGATTAAAGAGCAGGTTATTTATTGTTGTTATTTATTAATTATCTGACACTGATTGTTTCCCTCAGTGAGTCAGGACACAGAGAAGATCCTCCTCTCAGCCTGGTCCCACCCCCTCTTCACCAAACTGACCAATCCGGAGCCGCCTCCCGCCGACACAGAGGTCCAATCAGATCCCGTCCTCCAGCTGGACGTGGAGCTGGTGAAGGTGGAGGTGGTGGTGATGACGGAGGACGAGCAGGAGGACGTGGAGGAGGCCGTGATTGGTCGGGCTGCGTCGCCGGTGGAGCAGGAGGCGTCCAATGAGAGTTCAGCGCCGGGCGGCAACGACTGCGCGCCCGTGATCATCGGAGAGGACAGGTGAGACACTTCCTCCTCTATCGGTCCACGCGGCAGCTGCTTCCAACTGCTCACGTTCACCTTTTTCCTGTCAGGTTGAAGGACTCACCTGGAAACTTTGCCGACCAATCAGAAGACGCAGGTACACGCACACGCACACGCACACACACACACTGACGCTCTGAATGTCTCCTCTTACTCCCGCCTCTCTCCCCAGTCGACCAATCAGATCAGTCCTGCTCTGAGGTCACAGCCAACGCTCTGTATAGCATTTCCCATAATTCTCAGCGGGTGGCTCACAAGTGTCCTCAGTGTGGGAAATGTTTCATCTACCGTTCTCAGGTGAGTGAGACTCCGACAGAACGATGCTCACAGTCTGACACAGTGTTGAGATCTTCTCCCCCTGCTGTCTCCAGGTGATCCGCCACCTGCGCACCAACAAGTCCTGCGGGTCGGCCCTGACGGCGACCGGAGCCTTGAACCTGCAGCTTTTACCTGCCGGTCAGGAGGAAGAGCCCCGCCCCCCGGAGCCCCTCCTCCCAGAGCCACGCCCCTCCAGGACACACTCTTGTTTCCAGTGCAACGCCATCTTCAGAACCAAAGCCGAGCTGCTGTCGCACCAGCGCAGCCACCGGGCGCGGCCCGTCTACCAGTGCGGCCAGTGCGACAAGGAGTTCCACCACCTGTCCAGCCTGACCAATCACAAGCAGACCCACCTGGACAAAGGAGGGTTCACCTGCAGCAGGTGCGACAAGGTGTTCGAGTCGGCCAAGGAGAGAGACGCCCACCGGCTGCAGCACCGGCTGCCGGACCTCACCTGCACCGTGTGCGACCAGACGTTCAGCTCTCAGACGCAGCTGCTGCGACACCTGCAGACTCACTCGGTGGAGGGGGCGGAGCCATGCTACAACTGCCGCTTCTGTGACCAGACCTTCTCAGGTAACTTCCTGCAGGTAGAACACCAGGTAGTGCAGGGAAGTCTGAGCTGGAGCTGAGGGACGAGGGTTCACCTTAGATCTCACCTGCAGCCGTTGCTTTCTGACGGGGAACTGAAGCTGTTCTGTCGATGCTCTCCAAATCCACCAGACTCCATTTTACCTCACAGAACACAAACAGACACCTGGAGGCAGCGCAGCAGGAAAACTGTTCTGTGAGGTATAATCACAGTTTTTATCAAAGGAGTCTGGTGGATCGGAAGAGTCACAACAACATCTGAACATCAGAATCAACACATGTTTGAGTTTTTGAGTTGTTATTCATTCATCAACTGCCATATTTAACCCCGCTCTCCAGGAGTGACCCAGCTCCGCATCCACCAGCGCACGCACACGTTCCGCTCGTACCAGTGCGACCAGTGCAGCAAGACGTACGGCTCCCTGACCGGCCTCCACTCGCACCGGGCCAGCCACACCGCCGAGAGCCGCTTCCTGTGCCCGCAGTGCGGCAAACGCTTCAAGACCCGCGACGGGCTGGAGGGCCACCTGCGCACGCACACCGGGGAGCGGCCCTACCGCTGCCCCTACTGCCCCAAAGACTTTACCGCGCTCGCCGGCCTCAATGTGCACGTGCGGCGGCACACCGGGGAGCGCCCATACGTGTGCACGGTGTGCGGCAAAGGCTGGCCGTCCGGAGGGGACCTGCAGAAACACATGAGGACTCACACGGGGGAGCGGCCGTACGTCTGCCAGGACTGCGGCAAAGCCTTCTCCATCTCCTGTCACCTGACTGAGCACCGGAGGATACACACAGGTGAGACACAGGGCGCCAGTTCAGGTACACGTGTGCCAATGAAAGCATGGAACGGGTAATTATGATACAGTTTTTAGCTTTAAATATATTTACAGTGTAAAACCAATGAGCTATAAATACAAACTAATCCACTAGAATCACACAACAAACTGTTTATTGTATAATATTAGAAATGTATTGACAGTATTAAGCTTGAATTTAAGCTGTCTGTCTGTCTGTCGTCCAGGAGAGAAACCCTTCTCGTGTCCAGAATGCGGTAAATGTCTGCGGAGGAAGTTCGACCTGAAGAAGCACATGTTGTCCCACAGCAGCGTCCGTCCGTACGCCTGCGTTTACTGTCCCAAGAGCTACACCCGCAAAACTCACCTGAACAGACACCTGCTGACGCACCGCGCCCCCAACCACGAGCCGGCGGCGGCCGAGGAGACGGCCGACGACGCCTGACGTCCGTTAAACTCCTTCTCATCCCGTTCATGCATGTTCTCATCCTGCCAATCGATCTGAACATGATTTATATGATATGAACATATTTCACCATTTCCTGAATCAATTAATAATTAGTCGTTAACTGTCAGCGTATATTTTAATAACCCATTCATTTTAGATTATAATCAGTATTTTCTACCATTTGATTGACTAAATCATAAAGTAATCAATGACTGCTAACAGTGCTAACAGCGCTAACAGAGTGAGCAGTCACTAGAAGCACATTCACGCTGTGTGTAAAAGTTTCTACCTGTGTCATAAATTCAGCTGCAGGAGCTGGGTTTCATTCACAGCAGAATATGTAGAATTCACTTTTTGGGGGTTTGGTTGTGGATCGGCGTCCATATTTGTTTGTTTTTCAGACTCTTGTGTAAAATGTGCTGCAGTCGGACTGCGTTTGAAGCAGCTGCTTCATAAACAAATGTAAACTGTTATTTTCATGTTTTTGTGGGTGAAGTTCTGCACTGCTCGTTGTCAGACGCCGTCCAATGGGAGTGCTGCTCAATGTTTGTGTTGCCATGGAGATTTTGTAACTGTGCTTTGTGTATATAAAAGCTGTTGTGTTCAACATTGATGTCTCTTTAATTCATCACAAACTCGGCCTGGAAGGTTTTGAACAAACTTTATTAGCATCATCTCGCCGCGACGGGCCGAACAGGAAACGCAGCTAGTCGTCGTTGTCATTTCCCGTCTTGTCGATAACCTTCCTCATCCACCTGGTCATCCTGAACAGGTGAGTGTAGAAGCCGTACTTTCCGTCCCGGTCGCAGCCTTCGCCCCACGACACGATGCCCATCTGGTACCAGCGGTTCTCCGCCGGGTACTGCACAGGGAACATGAAACCAGTGACATCAGCAGGGTGTCTGAAGGTCTTAAAGCTGATCAGATCAATGAGGTTATTGCCTTTAAATGTAAGGATTTATATTGATCTGCTGTATCTGTGGAAGTATATAGTGTAACAATATTTACAACAACAACAACATCAGCTGTTATTAAGTCTTTAGAACTGGTTGTAAAGGATCAATAGAGTTAAAGTCAGTGAAATGATTCTCACCTTCATCACAAACGGTCCACCGCTGTCTCCCTCACAGGCGTCTCCACGTTTGGTATCTTCTGGTTTAAAACCTGCGTCGCACAAAGCAGCTCGTTAACCTCGGCACTAGCACGATAGCACGCTAGCAGCTCTGAGAGGCAGCAGTGCTTTGAGCTACATGCTAATGTTTAGCAGGTGTAATGTTAGCCTTGTTTGTTTAGCATATTAGCATGCTAACAATAGCTGATTCGCAGTAAACACAGAACAACAGAGGCTAGTGGGTCTAGTACTCTGATCTGTTACTGGAGTAAAAGTAACTACAGTGTAGTTAAAGTACTAAAAGTAAAAGTCTTCATTTCAGAATAATAAATATGTTGTATTATAATTATTGATTATTATTAATTGAATCTGAAAAGTAACTTAAGCAGAGTGTAAAGTACAATATTTCCCTCCAAAATGTAGTGGAGTGGAGGTATTAAAGTATCTCAACAAGTAAAGTACTTAAATGTACTTAGTTACATTCCACTGCTGTCTGAGGCTGATCTCAGTTCAGCAGATAATAATAATAATAATAATAATGATAATAATGATAACTATAGTTCAGGCCTCCAGGCGGCGCTAGAGGAGGATCAGTAGGACAGTAAAGGTCAAACAGAACCACTGTTGAACAGCAGAGGTGTTACCAGCACAGAACATGTTGTCTGTGATCCGGACTGATGTGGAGCTGCGGCAGATGTCCTGATCCACGATGGGCAGCTGGATCTGCTGAAGGACCGTGGGTAAATTTCTCGCTGATGGGTTCCAGGTCTCCTTCAGGTTCCCCCAACCGGTAACACGGCCCTTAAAGCCTTCGCTCATCAGCCTGTCGGGAAGAGAAAACCGGCCCATTCATAACCCGAGATTCAGAACCACAGATTTAATGGAGGGTGTCGCTGCGGCTCTTACGTCTTGGCGACCTTCTTGGTGGGCAGGCAGACGGGGTGGATCTGATCGGTGAAGGTGACCGGCCGTCTCAGGTGCAGCAGAGCGATGTCGCGGTTCAGATTTTCCTTCCAGTTGTACTTCGGGTGGACGATGATATCGTCGATTGCTACGATCTTCTCGGTGGTGCGCTCGAACCTGTGAAGTTTGAGTTTGAGTCAGTCTTCTTCCAGAGAAAGGACTGAGAGTGTGTGGACAGGAAGTCTTACTTGGCCCTGTTGTGTTTGCCCAGGCGGACCAGTATGTCGTTGCTGGTGAAGTTCTTGTTCCAGGGGGGGTAGAGGATGCAGTGAGCCGCAGTGAGGATCCATTGATCACTGATCAGACTGGCTCCACACAGCAGCTCCTGTGGGCTGCGTTTGTACAGCATCACCTGCCTGCAAACAACAACAACAACAACAACAACAACAACAACAACAACAACAACAACAACACATTCAGCTCATGCAGGAGAGGGTTTTTAGTTCATTGTTTTAATTTCCTTGCTGCAGCTCAGAGGAAACGTTTGTACTAACTAACCCTCTACTGATCATATACACTGATTATATAGTGTGGTTGCCATGGTGACAGCTTATTGCTTCAAGCGTGGTTACCATGGTGCCGAGGCCACCTCTGCGTCGTCGCCCCCGACGATGCGTTTGTCTCTGTACGATTCCAACAGCTCTGCCTCCTTCGTGTCCGCTCTGTTCATCTTCTCAAACAGGGGGCGCTCTCCACACTCTGTCACACAACCAGCCGGTAAAACTAGTTAACCAACCAGCAAACGCACCCGTTTAACAGGTTTATTCAAGGAATCTGTGAACCAGTTAACTTATCGCACCAGTTAAAGGACCACAATAAACCGGTCATTGAACCAGTTAACCAGCCAGTTTCTCCTGGTTAAGGACTAGACTCACCGCTCTCTCCTTGTCCGAAAGTACGAGGAGAGAAAAATATTTTCTTTTTGGGCCCCAGGACGGATCGCTCCCTGCCTTCTGTCTCTGACGTCGTATCCTCACCGAGCAACGGGTCCTCTGGCAGACAGACAGGTGGACAGATAGACAGGTATAATAACCACCAGGGTGATATTCTGCAGTAGTACTGGTACACGCTCGCAGTATTTACCACACAGCCTAAGGTCACAGTAGTCCATCGTCACGTTTCCAGCTACCTCCACGTAGCACCAAGGGCCCTCGGGGTCGTTGTCGGGGTTACGGCACTTGTTGCCGTCCAGACTGATCTCGGGGATGAACTCCTTGTCCAGGCTGAGGGCCTTTGCCTTCGGGTGCGTCCACTGCAGGCAGGTATGGCCTCCGAGGGTAACGGCCAGCTCCCCGATGTAGTCTACGCCATAGTTTGGTAAACAGTCGCCAGATTTGGTTGGTTGAGGGGCCAAAGTGGGCGCGACAAATTCTTGACCTTCAGAGAGGAAGAGGGAGAACGTGTTTATGTACCTGAGTCTGTACCTGTAGACTAAGTCTTGTACCTTCAGCACGAGGTACCAGCACGAGAGAACGTGTTTACCTGTAGCACTGAGTGTGTACCTGCGAGTGTGTACAGTGTGTACCTGAGCACTGAGTCTGTATCTGGAGCACTGAGTGTGTACCTGGAGCACTGAGTGTGTACCTGTAGCACTGAGTCTGTACCTGGAGCACTGAGTGTGTACCTGGAGCACTGAGTGTGTACCTGTAGCACTGAGTCTGTACCTGGAGCACTGAGTGTGTACCTGGAGCACTGAGTCTGTACCTGGAGCACTGAGTGTGTACCTGGAGCACTGAGTGTGTACCTGGAGCACTGAGTTGTGTACCTAACTGAGTTGTAGGACACTGATGTGTACCTGTACCTGGAGCCCTGTACCTGGAGCACTGAGTGTGTACCTGGAGCACTGAGTGTGTACCTGGAGCACTGAGTGTGTACCTGGAGCACTGAGTCTGTACCTATAGGACTGACTCTGTACCTGTAGCACTGAGTCTGTATCTGGAGCACTGAGTGTGTACTTGGAGCACTGAGTACTCGCAGATGCTCACCACATTTGGGGACCCTGCAGGTCTCTTTCTGGACTGTTGGGTCTTTGGTGAAACACCAGGGTCCACTCGGACGGTTGTCGGGGTTTCGACAGAAGTTCTCGTGCAGGTTGCTGTTTGGCTCCGAAGCATTAAACTCCCTACAGACAGACAGGCAGGCAGGCAGGCAGGCAGACAGACAGACAGACAGACAGACAGACAGACAGACAGACAGACAGGGTGATAACTCATTTAGAGAGTCACAGTCTGTTATTAGTAAATGGATCAGTTATATTAGCAGTGCTCTACCACAGGTACCTTATTATGGGATGTGGGAACATGTGATTCCAGTTCTGACACTGTCGGCCCGATTCTGTGATGTTGATGTCTCCTTCATAGTTCACTCCTGTACCGGAAATACACTGACCTACACACACACACACACACACACACACACACACAGTCAGTGTGTACTCTACTTTGTCTGCGTTACTTTATTGTGATATTTAGTGTATTTACCTTCTATACATTGTCTGACAATGTTAATGTTCTGTTGTGTTCTTATCTTCTTAGTTCCTTCACAGTCTGAAAGGCAGACAGACAGACAGACAGACAGGCAGACAGGCAGGCAGACAGGCAGGCAGACAGGTAGTTAGGGGTTTGTGTACTCTGGGTTGTGTATGTGTGATCTGTTGTGGACTTTGTTCGTGTTTGCAGTTCAGCACAAATGTGATTAAACCACAAATTCAACTTTTATCTCCAAATGTTTGAATTTAGAAAGTTAAATTAAACAACCAGTGACCAACTGACCGTCGTCCTTTTTAACTTATATATATATATATATATATATATATATATATATATATATATATATATACTTATATATTTAATATCTAAATATATTGGATTGGTTTTACAATCAATATGTCCGTTTCTCGCAGTAGCAGGACTCACCAAGGTATTTCGTCCAGAAGTTTTCCTGAAGAGAGAGGAGAGAGTTTCTGGTTAGATTGTACACTACATCAGTAACTACAGTAACTACAGTAACTATAGTAACTACAGTAACTATAGTAGAGTGAATGTAATCAGAAAAGAGTCGTACTGTTTTGTCCGTCTGTTCGAACACCTCTCTGGCTTCTTCGTGGTCACAGATTTCCTCGACACACTCTCTCTCCAGATTCCCTAGTATGAAATAATATGAAACAACAACAACAACAACAACACCACCACCAACAACAACAACAAGAGTCCTGCGTAGATAGATTAATATACAGTAATACATTGTTTATTATTTGTTAATAAACAGTATCTAAGTAACTAAGCTTTAAAATGAATGTAGTGCAGTGAAAGAAATTAATTTGATGATCAGATTTTAGACTCAGTGATCGGCTTAAGTTCAGTGTCTCAATATAACAATGTATTGATTCCTGATGCCACCTTTATGTATTTCTATTCAGTAATTTATTAATAATTTTACTCGTTAGCCATCTTATACAATTCTCTGTCTGTATTCTGGATTTTTAACAAGCATAAAGACTTAAAATGAACCCAAATGTTGAGATGTTGAGGCGACCCCTAGTGACAAATATTAGATTTGAGTACAGTAACTCATTTATTGTTGAGGTTAATTAAGTTAACTGTACTTAAAAGTATATTACAGATACAGAATTTATCTGAATAAAATAATTTCCGTGCATCTTCTTTATACAAATGTTTCCACTCAGGTTTTCTCAGTTTTCTTCCACTAAAGCAAATTATAACATTACTTAATCAATTATCAAAATGGTAGCCAATTAATCTTTATAATGATATAAATTAAATTTAAATAAAATTAGTCACTGGAACAAACTGGAATTATATCAACAAGTTCAACTTCTACAATGAATGTTTGCTTCCTCTAATGAAGATGTTAGGATTTATATTGTGTAGATGTACAATGACACTAATGTCACCTCGTTCATACGTTTTTATTTTATCTTTCTGCTCCAGGAGAGTGCACGTCTGTTCCAAAATTAAATAATGAATTGATTTGAGTTCAAAGTGTCCAGGAAAAGACTGAATTTGTCAATAAAGAAGCCTAATAAGTCTTTATGCTTATTAAAAATGAATAAAAACTACATAATACAGAGAGAGAGAATTGTATAAAAAGTTCCCTAAACAGGAAATAATCTGCTCAAAAATTCTGGCTTTACACAAACTTCCTGCAGTTCCTGAGTTCACTGTTTGGGTTCAATGTAAAGTTTTGATTATGATATGAAATATCTATAAAATATATCACTGATTGATAGAAAATGATCCCTTGGGGATAAATGTTCAGAAATAAAACACAATAATAACACAGCACTGATTAAACTGGAGTTCTTCTGCATGAGTTACCTGGTTTCACCTCCTCAAACAGCTGATTTGCCCGACGGCTCCTGACCAACACCTGCGAGGCCCGCTGACTGCTGAGGAAAACTACAGACAGACCAGAATTAGATATAAGCAAGTGCACTATTATCTGTATCTGTTTAATTAACTACATTGTCTGTACTCTGAGTGGGCAGGGCTAACTAACATTTCACATTAACTCAGCTACCATTGGATCTTTCCTGATCCAGGCCCTTCTTGTCCAGTGGTGTCTTTCTTATTGTCTCTCAGCACAGAGAGTAAAGAGCAATGGTGAATAATATGTCTGTATATATTGCAGAAATATTCTGTGTTTTGTGGTGTAATTTAAACATTCCAGTCATTATTCAGTAAACCAGGACTCTGTTCAATGTCGTTTTAAGAGGTGTTTTTACTATTTTGTCCACCCTGTTAACAGCAGTGAGGGTGGAGTAAATATAAGAATCACCTCTCTGAACATTTTTAACAAAAAGTCAACATTAAAACCTAATAATCTGACCTCTCCATGTACGTGTGTCTTTATCTGACCTCCGCAGCTGTAAAGAACTTTAAACTGCAAATAAAGTTGTACAATTAAACATAGATTAATACCGCTTTATACAACCACGGTCACTACTGTACTACAAATACAACTTAGTACCACTATTACTACTTTTGCTCGTACTTTTTGACTACTTCTACTACAGCTACTACGTGTGCCAGCAGTAATATAAAGCAGTGGAGGTACCGTGGTCTGACAGGCAGCTGTGCAGGAGGAACAGCAGGAGAACAGCAGCTGGTTTACACGTTGGTTCCACCATGATCCAGAACTCCAAGCAGAACCTCAGAACCAGATCCAGCAGAGTTCCTCTTCAGTCTGTCTCTCTCTCTCTCAGTCTGTCTGTCAGTCTGTCTGTCTGTATGTGTGTGTGTGTGTGTGTGTGTGTGTGTGTGTAGGGGGTTATTGACCAAAGGGTCAAAGTATGCTGATGAGTCGGACTGATGTTTAATGTGGACCATGTTTACTTTGACTCAACCAACAAACTGCAGTACATGTACACAACATATACTGCTGTATTAGTGCAGCAGTGGTTGTATAAAGTGCTAATAATCTATGTTAAAGTGTACTTTTTGTACAATTATTTGCAGTTTAAAGTGCTTTAGAGCCGCAGAGGTCAGATAAAGATACACAGAATCAAACAAAATGAGTAGAAAGAAGTCTAAGAAGTATTAATACATTAAAGTATTTGTTAGTAAATACAGACTGCAGTACATGTACACAACATATACTACTGTATTAGTGGTGTTTGTATAAAGTGCTTATAAACTATATTTAATATTACTTGTGTGTAGAAATATTGGCTGTTTACTTTACAGCAGCAGCAGCGGTCAATCAAGAACTAGAATAAGACAAGACACAATTTTAGGAAGTATAAATACATAGAAGTGTCCGTGCAATGAATCAAAATAATAATAACAATCAATAATTCACCTCAAATGCATTAAAACTAAAGTAACGAGCCAATTTCAAACTGTAAGAAGTAAAAAGTTCAGATATTTGTGTAAAAATGTAGAAAGTAAAAGTAAAAAGTCATCAGAAAAATAAGTAAAGTCCATGTCTGTACATATATGTATACGTGTGTATATACGTCCGTATAAACATAATTAGTTCAACAACAATAATTTACCACAAGGTATATTGTGTGAATGCATTATGAATAAAATATTATATATATTTAAAAATAATAATACAATTCTGTCCGAGGCCGAACTACAGCAGCAGTTCGGGGCCTGAACCTGAGAATATCTTGCCAATCGGTAGATGTTGATATGGTGTCAAGGAAACAAGTCACTCAGTTGTGAAATTGTACTTAGAAACATGACGGCAGTGACCGTACGAACTTTTGTTCCCAAGCTGTTTACAAAGATGTCAGCTGTGTAAATGAACAGCTGCTGAGGTCGGAGGTCACATTACCGCCACCTTCCCTCCCTCCGCTCTCACCTTTAAAAGCTGTAAACCGGTTCAAAGAAAGCATCATGGGAATCAATAGAAAATGGATATAAAGCGTGTTTAAATGTCTCTGATTCGGTTTCTGTCTGACTCAGAACAACTCAGAACAAATATTGACTCACAGGTCTTTCACCAGGCGGAGGTCACATATTGCCACACACGTACCTGCAGTTTGACTTATGCACAGTAATACCACAGAGTGGAAGTAAATGAGCATGAAGGGCCAGAGTAGAGGGATGGAAGTTGGGAGTATTTGTGTTCTACGGTGGCCTGTTGAAGTCAAAAGTCCCTGATGGGAGTTTTTTTTTAAATGATACATGACTAAATCTTCAACCAGAGCTGTACAGTAATCACAAACTAGCCCCACTACTGTTTCTAAAAGGGTGTGAATGTCTTTATCTTTACAGTCCCTCCTCCTGGATGCCCGGTTAGAAAGTAAAGCATGATGGCGCCCTCTAGGGTTCACTTCCAGAGGAGAAAATGAGATAAAGAGCAAATGGAGACTGTTTTCCTCTGTTTAAATACTTTATTATGCTTTCTATGCTATCTGTAAGATCATCTGCAACGTCATTTACAGCTGATGTCTGTCCAGCAAACAATAAACACCCTGTGTTATAAACACTGATGTGTAGGACCACGATTATTAGAGTAGTATTTCCACATTATCTCTTAACATTAGCCACAGAAGAGGAGCAGAATCAGAATCAATACAGGCCCACAGATAAAAGTAAAAGTATTCTTTATAAAGCTGTCTCTCTCTCCAGCATACAGTCCTGTATTGACAAGGGGACGGGGACGGGGATGGGGGGGGGGCACATCTTTCCACTCCTCCAAAATCTTGATCCTGTCAGGATGGCTCAGTTTGTATCCCCACAATACAATATACATATGATAGGATCACAATTGGATCACACAGGAGAGGGGATGAAGATGTGAAACAGTCAGTCACAGTGAGTTTTATTGTCACATCGCTTTATATTTATGACAGAAACTAAATAAAAGTGTAATACCTCCCCTCTCACACCCCTCCCTCTCTGGGTGTTCCCTGTTTAAAGTTTACTTTCACTTTCTCTGAAGGAGTGTCGCAGTTGGTTTTCTCCGTCTCAACCTCCAGCTGAAGGTAATGGAACAAGTGTTTAATGTTTTCCTCGTTAACACAAGCTGTCGTTAGTTTATCTCCACTAGAAACAGCAATATAGGGGTTAAAGGTGAAATCAATAAAAGTGTAACTGCGTCAGTAAATGAGCAGGAACTGGTCCTCCTACTTTATCTGCACTCAGATCTGATCAATAATCAAATCAAAGAGATTTCCTTTCAATTAATAATTTTAATATTTTCTGGAAGCTCTTTGTTGAGACGCACTGAGCACAATGAGGCGGGGCAGACAGACATTTCCTTAAGAGGAGACAGTCTGAAATGCAGATGTTTTTTACCAGTTGAAACCTGACACCAGCTCCTGTTTCATTCAGTTCACTGATATATCCCAGAATGCAACAGTGACATGGCTTCATAGTACATTTACTCCAGTAGACTTCTGTCCTTCAGTACAACTTTGAAGTATTTGTACTCGAGTATTGCTGCTACTTTCTAAGTCTGAGAGGAGCTCAGTCACTCAGAGAGAAAGATTGTAATTCTCAGTGCATGTATCTGACAGCTTTAGTTCCTAGTTACTGTACAGATTTAATAAACCAAACATCTGACTGTCTGTAAAATATCATTAAACTGTAATATAATGTAATATGATGTATATATAACAATCAGGATGTATACAAGATTAAAAACATGAATGATTTGTGTTTCCTCTCCAGATCAAAGTGTGTGTGAGCTGATGTGAATGTGAGTTCAGCAGCATGAGTCAGTGTGAGGACAGAGAGGAGGGAGCCCCTCCCTCTAAAAGCACTCTGTGGGGACCTGGACCTGGACCTGGACCTGGACCCAGCTGTGTGTCCTTCAAGAGTGATCGCTCCAATGAACGCCTCATTCATTTTAAAGGTCGACAACTGTCTGCTGTAAAGAGGTAAACTGTTAATAAGATACAAATATTACTGATTCATGTTTAAACCGTTTGTTTATTTTCTGCACTGTTCTTCTTCACTTACATTTCTATTCTCACATCTGAAAGCTGCCTTGAATCACCAGTATATAACCAGTATATAACCAATATATATATATATATATATACATATATTATATTATATATTTATACATGTATGTATATATACAGTATATGTGTAATTGGTAGATACCCTACCTTAGGCTCTGATGTCTGGAGGTTGGCAGGTGTGCTGATCAACTTGATATTATTATTAATGATTATTGTGGAACGATGTTAGTGTGCCACTTAGTGAACTGAGCCCTGTATTATGAATCTCATACATCCTCATCGTCATCATCGTCTTTTCTAAATGTGAAGACTTTTCTCCTAAATGACAGCAAATCAAATCTGACTAGTGTTACACACATATATGTATGTATATATTATATTATGTTAAAATAATGTCGATGAATGACGTCTCTTCTGACATACTGTACCCCACTCTCCCTTAAATACAATATGCCATGTTCTCAAATCTACATAAAGTATTTTCCTGTTTCATTAAGTCATAAAAAACATCATGTTACTGGCTAAGAGAACCTTGTAGATCCGATTGTTGTGTCCATGGAATAATGGAATTATACATGACTTTTCTTTTGATATCAGCATTATATATCAGCCATCGGTCGCCCTGCTCTCTAGATATCAGCATCCACCATTAAAGAACCCACATCAGTGCAACTCCAGTTAGCTGCACAACATTTCACTAACATCTTAGCAGCTTAGCAGAGAACTGTTCCACAGTAACTAGTTAATGTCAGTTACTAATTACTAGTTACTAATGACAAAGATTACTACAGTGAAAGCTCAGTGAAGGTTGTATGTGGGTCTGCTCCGAGGTTTCAGAGAACCATGACACAGTGTGGGCCGGAAGCCAGAGAGAAAGAGTCAAAGGGCGACATGGTGGGTTGACCAGCTGATCACTGTCTTATCAGGGGGTCTCAGGTTACACTGACAGGAAGTGACCATCACAATAAAAGTTCAAGTTAAATCAGGACCTTTAGCTCGTGTTTGTCTCTGTGTGGACAGACATAATGTGAGCTCATTCTTCATGATTCCTCCACAGAGTGGACCAGGAGAGCTCAGAGGTTCCCAGTGGTCAGTCTGCCCAGCAGCATCAAACACACCTGGACTCCATATTTATGGTCTGTACATGGACAACAACTACTTTTACATCTATTGTGTTCACAATAATCTCCATGCTGCACTTTTTAGACCAGTGGATTGTCAGTCTGTCCAACATGGATCTGATGTTTACTTCCATGATTTGACTTTGATTGAGTCATTCATATAATATTCTGTTCCAGCTGCTGGAGGACAACATTGTCACTTTTGTGAAGAACGAGCTGAAGAAGATCCAGAAGGTTCTGAGTTCAGATTACCCAGAATGCTTAGAGAGTCAGAGGGAGGATGAGGAGGTGTTGGACGGGGAGGATGAAGAGCAGAGGAGGAGCAGCAGAGAGGCCTTTCTGAAGATCACAGTGCACTTCCTGAGGAGAATGAAGCAGGAGGAGCTGGCTGACTGTCTGCAGAGCAGTAAGAGGATTTCTCTAAAGATTTAACTTGCTGGATAAATGAGACATTTACTGATGTCTCAACAGACGGAGGAAATATGTTCATATATGACTTCTTTAGGGGAATGAAATTGTCATATTTCCTTTAGAATCCACTCATTGGTCTTATTTGTTGTTTGTTCATTCAGGAAGTCATTCTGGAGTTTGTCAGCGTGAACTTAAATCTAAGCTGAAGAAGAAGTTCCAGTGTGTGTTTGAGGGGATTCCTAAAGGAGGAAACCCAACCCCTCTGAACCAGATCTACACAGAGCTCTACATCACAGAGGGAGGGACAGCAGAGGTCAATGATGAACATGAGGTCAGACAGATTCAAACAACATCCAGGAAACCAGACAGACCTGAAACAACAATCAGACAAGAAGACATCTTTAAACCCTCACCTGGAAGAGATGAACCAATCAGAACAATGATGACAAAGGGAGTGGCTGGCATTGGGAAAACAGTCTTAACACAGAAGTTCACTCTGGACTGGGCTGAAGACAAAGCCAACCAGGACATACAGTTCATGTTTCCATTCACTTTCTATAAGTGGGATTTATTAATCAATAAATACACTGATATCTTTCAACAGGAGAACAACATCAATCAGTTATTACTTGTCTCCTTACTGTTGTCTCTCCAGTGGCTGTAACCTCTCAGAGAGAAGCTGTGAAGCTCTGTCCTCAGTTCTCAGCTCCCAGTCCTCTAGTCTGAGAGAGCTGGACCTGAGTAACAACAACCTGCAGGATTCAGGAGTGAAGCTTCTGTCTGCTGGACTGAAGAGTCCACATTGTGAACTGGAAACTCTCAGGTCAGGATTCATGAACCCATTCAACTGATGACCATTTAAAGTGTGATTGACATTAGTGGATAAACAACTAACCTGTGTAGGATTGTGTCTGCTAATATGATTTGTCAAAGGATCTTTAACTAAACTTCAGCAATAGTTTCTAGACTCAGAGAATTACTTTCCATGAGGATTTCTATCATTTGTTGTTGCATTATAGAACACCACAGAGGATTTTAAAGATTTATTCTACATTCGTATCTGGACCAAAATGTACCTGAACAAGAACCAAAACCACAGAGCCAAGTATTCACAGGGGGGTTCCTCAAGAACTGGTTTCAGGATAAAGAGCAGACTGGTTTCCTCTGTCTGGTGGCGACTTTGATAAACCATTGTGAAGTCACATTTTTCTTTTGTGAGTTCACACAGTGCTCTGCTCAAAGTCTTTATTGTCCCTTTTTCACCAAAGCTTCACTCTTCATAAACACATTATAATGTTTTTAGCATGATAGCAGCGTGGCTCTATGGATGGTAATGTGGGTCTGTCAGTCTGTCCTCCACTTTGGTCCAGACTGAAATATCTCAACAACTATTGGATGGATTGTGATGAAATGTGATTCAGACATTCATGTTCCCCTCAGGATGAATTGTAATAACTTTATTGATCCTCTGACTTTTCATCTAGCGCCACCATCAGGTCAAAATTTGAATGTGTCCAATACTTTGGTTCATGAGCAAATACCTGCAGAACTAATGACATTCCCATAAGCCTCAGCTGCACTTTGTATTTACTGCTAATGATCTAATGAGTAAAAACTAAGATTATTTCTTTATTTGCAGACGATCTCTGCTTGTATTGGACGCAGCAGTACCCTCAGATGATCTGCCATGTGTGTTGTTTTGTGTGTTTGTAGGCTGTCAGGCTGTCTGATCATGGAGGAAGGCTGTGCTTCTCTGGCCTCAGCTCTGAGCTCCAACCCCTCCCATCTGAGAGAGCTGGACCTGAGCTACAATCATCCAGGAGACTCAGGAGTGAAGCTGCTGTCTGCTGCACTGGAGGATCCACAGTGGAGACTGGACACTCTCAGGTAGGAAGAGGCCTGCTGCAGACACAGACAGTCAGTCTGATAGAGGAGGTCTGTTTGCTTCATGGTGGATATGAGTGTTATATGAACAATCACACATGTAGGAAGCCTTTTTCTGTTCCTCCGAACATAAACACTGGTTGAACATAAAAAGGAGATATTTGTGTAGGAGGTCTCTGAGCAGAACAAACCTGATAATTGTCTGTTGGTAATAACTGATGCAGTTTGGACAGATCTCTGCATGTTAAAGGAACTGTCTGTCATTGGGAGAAATATCCTGTTTGCCCTATAACCCGGGATCCAATCAGTTTCATCTCTGTACAGAGATAGGTCCAGGACAGTTTTAGCCTAGCTTAGCACAAAGACTGGAAGCAGAGGGAAACCGCTAGCCTTTTTCTCATCAAACTATATTAAGTCTTTAGGCACATGGGACTACTATTTCTTCCTAAAATGGTAGAAAATGTCCTGAATAAGCTGTAAAAGTGTAAGAATTTCTATTATTTTCAGCACACACATGCAACGTGCTCCTATCTATATATTGCATATAAAGGAAAGTTGCACACAACTGTTATTAATTGAGGTAAAAGCTGCACTGAAGCACCAAACAGTGGAGAGAGAAACTCCCTTCAGACAGCAACAAGACCAACAGATTACAGAGAGTTTGTATCTTTATACTTTATTGTTTCAAATACAAATATGAAAGAACAGCTTCATGCAGACATGTTGTTTCTTAGTGCAATGAAGAGATATTTAACTGTCAATCATACATTGGATTGACTGGAACTAATGTACTTGAAGTGTGCACTGTGTTATCTAAACAATCCGATTGGGACTCGGTATTGGCAGATACTCAATATTAAATGAGTCGAATTTGATCAGGGGCTAAAAAACTTGATCGGGACATCCCTGCTAAGAATTAAAACATTTTTTTTTATTTCAACCTGAAATGACATAGGGTGCATATAATGATACGGTCTGTATAGTGGCGTACAAATCCTAAGGTCCAGGGATCAGGCAAAGCAATGGTCAGAAAACAGCCAAGGTCAGCAACAGGGGATCAGTCCTAATTCGCAGGCTGGAGAGTCACACGTAGCAGTGGAACAATCTGGCCGTGAGCAGAGGGTGAGTGAGGCTCTATATACTGTGGTGACCAGGTGGAAGCAGTTGCGCTGATCGGGGGGTTTGGCTGCAGGAGTGGCTGAGCAGGGGTGGAAATTTCCACTGCAGGTGAGTGTGAAGGATAAGGAGGGGTGTGGCTATGAGCAGTGCAGGAGATAGACAGACTAGACTGTAACACCGCCAGGTTTAGTTTAACTGAAGTTGGAAGTTATTTCTTCCGTGTGTTGAACAACCAGACTGTGTGATGTTACACTGTGTTGGAATAAATTAACTAAATGTTCAGACTCCTGATTCACAATCATTACTGCGGTTTCTGTTAGTGTTTAACAGGTTATACAGACTGTAATCAATAGAGTAATATCAGAAACAGACTGTAATCAATAGAGTAATATCAGAGTGTAATCAATAGAGTAATCAATAGAGTAATATCAGAGTGTAATCAATAGAGTAATATCAGAGTGTAATCAATAGAGTAATATCAGAGTGTAATCAATAGAGTAATATCAGAGTGTAATCAATAGAGTAATATCAGAAACAGACTGTAATCAATAGAGTAATATCAGAGTGTAATCAATAGAGTAATCAATAGAGTAATATCAGAGTGTAATCAATAGAGTAATCAATAGAGTAATATCAGAGTGTAATCAATAGAGTAATATCAGAGTGTAATCAATAGAGTAATATCAGTGTAATCAATAAAGTAATATCAGAAACAGACTGTAATCAATAGAGTAATATCAGACTATAATCAATAGAGTAATATCAGAGTGTAATCAATAGAGTAATCAATAGAGTAATATCAGAAACAGACTGTAATCAATAGAGTAATATCAGACTATAATCAATAGAGTAATATCAGAGTGTAATCAATAGAGTAATATCAGAGTGTAATCAATAGAGTAATCAATAGAGTAATATCAGTGCTGTATCAGAAGGAGGTTTTCTGACACTCACTGAGGGTTTGGAGGGAAACAGTGTTGGAGTCTCTGTCAGGTGGTTTTAGGGCAGAGGTCTGGAACCAAGGACTGCTTTTGAAGTGGGACTCTGAATGGAGAGTGGATCATCCAAAAAGAGGTTTGTGTGTGTTATCAGATGTTGTCCTCCTCTTTCACACACACACCAACATCCTGTGGCTCACTCTCAGTGTATGAGGAGAGTTTAGGGGGAGCAGCGATGCACACATTGTGTATCTGTGTATGACACTGATGTAATGTCCATGTTTGCATGCTGAAAGAGGATGTGCTGCTCTGACCCCCCTCCTCCTTTCAGGGTGGAGCCTGCTGGAGTCCGATGGTTGAGACCAGGTCTGAGGAAGTGTAAGTGTGAAAACAAAGCAGCACACATTCAACCATCTTCACACTGTGACATCACTCATTCACAGCTCTGATGTCATCATCAAAGTGTCAATCAATGATCAGATGATAGATCAATAACTGCAGCTGTATTGTGTCTTGTTCTCTCCATCAGATTCCTGTGAACTCACAGTCGACACAAACACAGTGAACAGAAACATCAAACTGTCTGACAACAACAGGAAGATGATTCATGTGAAGGAGGATCAACCATATCCTGATCATCCAGACAGATTTAACTGCTGGGAACAGCTGCTGTGTACAAATGGTCTGACTGGTCGCTGTTACTGGGAGGTGGAGTGGAGAGGAATAGCTAATATATCAGTGAGTTACAGAGGAATCAGGAGGAAAGGAAACAGTGAAGACTGTCAGTTTGGATACAATGATCAGTCCTGGAGACTGTTCTGCTCTGATGGTGGTTACTCTGTCTGGCACAATAAGAGAGGAACATCCTCCTCCTCCTCTGTCTCTAACAGAGTAGCAGTGTATGTGGACTGTCCTGCTGGCACTCTGTCCTTCTACAGAGTCTCCTCTGACACACTGATCCACCTCCACACCTTCAACAGCACATTCACTGAACCTCTTTATCCTGGGTTTGGAGTCTGGTACAGTCCTGGTTCTGGTTCCTGTGTGTCCCTGAGTCCTGTGTAGGAGGGAGAGTCTCCTCCTGTCACAGAAACAGATCATTTCAGTCTGTACAGGATCACAGTTCCCTTCATCTTTCAGCTGATTGTAATAAATGGATCAATGAACTTTGTAGAAACGGATTCAGACTGATTGAAAAGATTCCTCATTGACATTGTGAACTTCTTCCACTTCCAGTCCTTTAAAGATGGAAGCTGTGATCATTCAGCACAACTCAGTGGAGGTGAACAGTTGGTTCAACTTGAATCTCTTCCACCAATGTGACGGGAAAAAAGAAGATCTCTTTCTCTGCATATTTAATTAATATCTCACAATAATTCCTTTATGTTACTAAATCAACATTTGGAGAATTTTGTTTTCTATTTTGTTTTAATGATCATTTTCTTCAATAATCTGTATTTAGATATATTTTACACTCTGGTCTGTTTTCTGTTCCAATAAAGCTCCTTTGAATTCAGATCAATAAACTCTGCTTCAAAGATCCTTTTTTAAACATATTTACTCGGTTTAATATGCAGAATATAATCCTGTTATAACGGGATGCTGCTGTACACTCCGGTACAGTAGGTGGCGCAATGCTAACCTGCCAGAACACCAACGAAGAAGATAACCGGAAGTAGTGTTTTAATGTTTTTTTTTTTAAACTGTTGTTGTTGTTGTTGTTGTTGTTTTCGTGCTGTTATTGTCAGAGGAAATGAACGCCACCTGTTGATGAGCATTCAGCGAACAGCGACAAGCGAACAGACAGTGAGAGGAAGCTGTGCGTAAATGGCGCCTATTGGAGAGTGTGCCCCCCCCCCCTCACCGGGGATTGGGTCTCAATAACTTGGTACAAAATGAGCTTTGGTGGTTTCTGTGGCAGAAAGTGTGAGAAGAATAAAATACAACACTGTGGGTCACGTTAGTGGGACAGTGTTAGAGGAGCTGCTGAGAGAGCAAATGATATTTAACATTGGCTATTATACAGTACTGAATCCACTATTCACTAATTCACTGTTTGGACTCATTGGACAGTTTATCAGTTGTTCTCCACTGTTATTGATCTGCACTGAATATAATATGACAACAACATGTCACTCAATGATAGAAAAGGGCTCCCTAAAAGAAAAGGTTGGGAACCAGTGACATGGACGGTCTCAAGGATGTAAATAAAAAAGTGAAGAACATTTCTTTAATGATTTGATGTTCTGAAGATCAATATCTAACTGTGGACTTACTCACACACACTCACACACCAATCTAAAGCAAACAGGTTTTGATGAATGAATTAATAAATGACTCAGAATCATGTTTGTATTCTCCCACTTCCTTTATTACATTTTTTTGGTTTTTAATATGCTAATAGTAATAGTACAACAGCACGTCTCAGTGTAATCAATCTTCATTCACAGTAACTTCAATCTACTAATAAACACCATTTTAATGTGGCGTATTTTCCTTCCACTGGATCTCTAAACCTTCTTGCTGCAAAGCTTCTTTCAGCTGAGCCTGACAGACTTCTTTTAACTTCATGTCACCAAAACACAGAACTTTCTGCATTCACGAGGTAGCATTTAGGCTGTGTACAGTTAAAGTAGGCGGTTAACATCATAGTGAAGAAGAAATTATATATGTTTTATAAAAGAGCCCACAGTACCAGGAAGTAGTGCATGTAGTAAATGAAACCCTGTAAACCTCCATTACCGTAAAACTTCAATTAATAGCCGGCCTTTATTTGGGACAGGCTTCTATATGGGACAGGCCTTTAAACGAGACAGGCCTTTAAACAGGACAGGCCTCTACACTGTAAATAAACACAGTAGAGTTTTTCTATAATTACGGTAAAAGGAGTTTAGTACTGTTGGTTTTACAGTCACACCAGTTTTTACCATCAAAAGCAACAGTTTTGCCACATGAAAATACCGTATGATCGTAGTGAGATATGGTATATTTGTGGTTTTCTGTGTAATTTACAGTCTGTAATATAAAAAAGTACTTTACTCTGTATAAACTCCTTTTTAAAATGGCGTGTCGAATTGGGAACCTGCTTTTAATCAAAGTTTTACGGTATTTTTCTTCATTGCACACTTCACTTCTATTATTATTATTTCACCAAAGATTTTGTTCCACTCTCATTATTAATTGGCCTGAATCATTGGATTGACTCAGCACCAATTCTGCAGAAATAACATGATCCTTCTCAGGTGGATCCAATGAAGATCAGTGTTATGATAATTATATCATATTTCACAGCAACAGTAAAAACACATGAACAAAAACCCAGACCTTAATTAACCGACGTGAACAACTATCCTGTCCGAAACACGTTCTATATATGTTATATGTCTTGTTTTATATGAAGAGTAGCTGCTACCTTAGTGCAGCTACTGGGAAATAAAGAACCTCAAACATTGTTTCATAACCAGCGAGCTTTCAGGCTCCTCATTGGGATGAAGGTTGAGTCAGGAATCATCTGAGAAGACAACCAAACAAAACAGGGATTAGTCATGATTTATACTCTGATGGAGATTTTTCTGTTTCTGCACAGAAAATATCAAAGTCTGATCGTCAGATTACCAATAAATTAACTGATCACATTCCTGCTACTGACACTTTAGATTTTAATGCCCTGTGAACTTTCCTCTATAGCGCCACCCACAGGACAAACTTTACATATTGAGCACCAAGAAAAGCAAAATCATTAGTATGATCAAATCAACTCTGACCTAAAGAACAAATGAATTTGTTGAAAAAAGGAAATAAACTAAGTAAAGTGTGAGTGCTCTTCCTCTGGTGCCCTCTTAAATAATTTAAATGTTTATGAAAAGCACTTAATTCTGATTAAAGACACACTTAAGATCAATCTTTAACTGTGAGCGGCTTTATACACAGCCATGTAATTAATGAGAAGGGAGATGTCTTTACCTACTTAGTCCAGGTCATAGAGATGAGGGCTGGGTTTCCATCGGCATATTTGGACCTGAGAGATCTGCGCTTCCTGAGACCTCCACAGCTCTGTCAGACAGGGGATGGTTTGATTTGTTCAATATGCTGATGATACTTCTGTATTCATGCAGTACCTCTACTTGAGTATTTTTACATTGTTGTATTACTACTTTTTACTCGAGTATTTCCTCCCTGCTTACCGGAGCACAGGCATTGCTCTGTGTGAGGCACAGCTCCAGTTTGCAGTGCAGGTAGATGTCGCCGGTTTTCCCAGAGAACTCGAACATGTTGAAAGAGAAGCCGTTGGACGTTCCCACTCCGTTTCCCTCCATCATCACCGTCTTGTCAGCGGCATTCGGGCATCTGCTCAGAAACAGGAAACGGACATGATGACATCAGCAGCAGTAGAGCCTCCGACAAAGTCACAGTTTTGTGTTTTTTTGTGTTTTTCTCACCTGTTTTTGACAAGGTCGTATCGCAGGGTCCCATTGGGTGAGGAGTCGTTGGATGCCCAGCAGGAGTCGGTGACCACGGCGACTGTGTTGTTGTCCAGCCCATCTGTCTTCAGCTCCACCCAGATCTTCTGGTTCAGCCCGACCTCAGTGTTTGCGTTGACGAGGTTCTTGTGGCCGGAGTCGTTGTAGGCGTTCATCGTCACAGTGTAATTCCAAACTCCAGATACAATCTGCTTCACCACAGAGCTGTAGAGCACAGACACACACACTTCAGCCGTCTTTAACTTCAACTACAACAGGATTCAGTCGGCACATGAACAACCAGGTGAAGCTCAGCGCCCCCGCACACACCTGTCTTTGATCTTGAAGGACACACTCTTGACTTCTGGCACGGTGTAGAGGCAGGAGAAGTCAATCTCTACCTGGTCGTTGCGGGTGATGATGCCGGAGGCGTTCGCCATCATGACGGTGTTCTTGTAGAGGACTTGGCTGTTGTTTTTCTAGATTGAGACAGGAACACAGACATGTTTTCAGCTTCATTTAATCACAGCGATCAAATTCTTCTCATATTCACCTGTGATTTTTACAGTCCTGACTGATAAAAAAGTCTTTATCATCAAATGTGTCTTTCTGTCATAAATAAAGAAAACCAGTGGAAAATGTCCTCCCTGTATTGAACCAAAGGTTGAGTTTACAGTTTGTGCCCCTGCTGGAGGACAGTACCCACCATAACCTCCGCCCCGCAGGTGTTGCTGCTGTTGAAGCTGAACGTCACCATGTGGGTCTTGCTGTCTATGTGACCTGTGCAGTTCTGGTCCTTGAGGTGTAAGGTGGAGTAGTCGATGCCTTTGTCCGTCAGCAGACAACCAGCCAGAGTGAGAGTGGCCGAGTTCTGCGTGCAGACTGTCGGCTCGCCTGAACAGCAGGACAAAGTAGTCAAACAGTCACCACTTTAATATGGATTTATTCATCCTGCAGCAGCTGGTTCGTGCTAATGTTATCTTCTTAACTGACATTAGACTGGAGAGGCCCGACAGGCTCTGCACCAAACCACAAAACCCAAAACCGCTGTGCCTCTGCCAGATGTTTCCAGAACTAAAGTCATCTTTGGACATATCAGCAGCTGGTTTATGAGTTACCTGCTCTTCTGTTTTCTGTCATTGGCTTTGTTTGCCTTCCTCTGGGGAACACTTTGTACAATTAAAATGAACTCTATAAATATAATGAAAAACATCCAATTCAGCTCCCGAGCTAACTGATATAAAATTCCCTGCTAGCTGTAGTCTGTAAAACAGTTCAAACTTTACAGGTTATAGCTCCAAAACCTTGTAGAGAATTTATTTCAAAACAACAAACATTAAAAAGTGTCTCATAACAGGATAAAATCTAGAAAATGTTTTTTCATGTGACGGTTGTGGCACAGTACCTAAAGAGTTTGTTGAGTTGTACTTGGCAGCGAAAATGGCCCGACAGAGGCAGCTGGTTGAACCGAGCTTCTCACCGCAGAACTCATGAGCACTGCAGTCCTGATCCTGACAGGAGGCCTGAGGGACAGCAGCTACAGACAGACAGACAGACAGACAGACAGACAGACAGACAGACAGACACATGAGGCTCACTATCAAATACTCGACTTCCTTCTGCTTTTATTTGACAGCTATAGCTACCTTTTCAGGTAAACATGACAAATACAAAACATGTGATTCTATAGTTATAGATTCAGTACAAAGGTATGTGTATAATAGCTCTCTAGAGCAGCAGACACTAAAGTGCTTCACAAAAACAGAGCACTAGTTATATAAAAGAAGATCAAATGTATTAAACATTTAAATTGAACATTGAAATGCATCAGTGATAATTATTCATTCTGCACAGTGAATACTTTTACCATCTGTACCTTTTTGTTGATCATACTGCAGTATTTACGTAGCAGTCATTTATTATTGGGTGGCACTTAACTCCTTCCACAGTTTTCATCGTCCAAAAACGTCATTCAGACGTCAAAATATTCAACTCATTCAGGAATCGGGTTACTATTACTTTTCTCTTTCATACTTTTCAAAACATTCCAGGTTTTCTGGCATTTTTCCCCGTTCATCCTTATGGACGCAATGTTCGAAATTCAACAAGAAACCTTCAAACCCACTGATCTCCAACCTCTTCCCACACATTCATACATTCACAAAGAAACTATTCAAACTTTCTCCTATTATCACCATGGCAACCTTTCATTGGGGTTGGGAGCACACAGCTGATTGAGATGAGCTAATTAGGGCAGACAAGTATTTTTCAAACTTTAAACTCGTGATTAGTGTTTCTCACTTTACCAGCTACAATATTTCTTCAGCTTCCTCAATACGATACAAATTAAAGCCAGTAATTCAGTTTAGCGTCAGCCTTTGAACAGCCAATTTATTAAGGAACTGCCTTCTCTAGTTGTTGTTGTTGTTTCTTATGTAAAGGGTCTTAATACCATTACTGATGCTCTAAATTGTACATTGAATGAAATAAACGTCACGTCAAATTTTAACTGAAGTTTTGAGTTGAATGTAGCTAAACAAATATATACTGCACAGAATTTGTATACGAGTATATGTATACCATATACATTTTACCCACATTCTGACTTTGCTCCAGTATTAAAATTGATGGTTGTGTTTCTGTCAATAATTCTACTTTCTCTGTCCTGTATGATTAGGATTTGTTTCAGCCTGGAACAGCAGGAGGAAACCAATACGGTTTTATTTTGTCTTATGAAACATTGAAGTGAAATGACGCTCTTACAGCAGTCGGTGTTTGACCTCCAGTTCCCCACTGTAATGTTCACTTTCAGGCGGCAGGACTCGGCGTAAGCCTCCAAAAACTGGCACTTATTGAGGCCGTCCACCGCTGGATATTTGCACAGAGTGTCTGTGCAGGCGGTTACGAAGGGCTCAGGGTCAGAGTGGTTGTGGCAAACAGTGAAGGGGGCCTGCTTTATGAGATTGCAGCTGGGAGGAAGAATGACAGTCAATTAGCAGGTTTCTGAACAGTATCGTGTAGGAACGTATGATAAAGATGACTCGTTCCTGTTCTGAAGATGATAGGAAGGTTCTGATTGGTCAGTTCTTACTATTCAGTTGTGCGGGTGCAGTTGATCGAGCTGTCAGCGGTTTGGTTGTGCAGAGTCTCGCAGCTAGGAGGCGACAAACAGCACGGGACATTCAATTAGAAACCAATGCTGCATTAATAAACAGATTATATCAGTTTGGTTGAGACTGAGTTTTACCTGGCTGCACTGTCATTAGAGGACTTGGCTGCACTCAGGGTGAAGTTCTGACTGGAATCAGCGGGGTTGCCACACAAGCCCTCCATAGCTCCAAAATGTCCTGGTCGATGTCAGGAGGCAATTAAAGACAAATAAAAGAACTTCCATCAGTAAGCTCAGCTGTCACTCTTCAACATGAACAACTTTGAAATGACACAGATATTTTGTCCAGATAGGATTTCTGTACCTGTCACATGTGCAGTGTTGCCATCAAAAAAGACTGTGGCGTTGATGGAAGGAATCTTGGCAGTAACTCCAGTCTGGTTCTTCGAGAGCTCCACCCCGTGAACCACCTGACCCGTGGCGTTGAGCGTTAGCGTTTGTTGACCATCCTACATCACAGCAGATAGGCAACATGAGGGAAACACTGGCTGAAATAACACAAACACACACCAACATGTGCTTTGCATGGGTGCTTGTTCCAACTTAAAGAAGGATTTTTCAATCTTTAGTTTAGGTAACACCAGCACATTTGAACTCCGATTGTCTCCTCTTATCACTCACAGCGAGAACAACACTTTCAATAGTGTTTACTGGCAGAACAACAAAACAAAGAACATGCTGAAAAAGTAACGTATGACAGAAGTGACGAATGAGAACATTAGTAAAAATAATCTGAATGTTCCTGTTGCACCAACGTTCATTAGACGCAGCTATCCATCCAGCCCAGGTTAAAACCTCAAATAGCACCGCATTGTAATTCTGTGCAACTATTTTATTACACTTGAGTAAATAGGATCACATTATATTGTGATATTTAAAATTTTCCACCACCGCACCTGTCTTGAACTACATCAACACAAGTAACTCCTGGCCTGTAATGATCATCAGTGATTGATCAAATAAAGAGGATGGAAGGAGGATTTATGAGTCCATAAATAGGCTGTTAGTCTTTGGATGGATTGTGGCAGCTTACCCGGACTCTTCCACCTTGCTCCAATAATTTTGACAATTGACCCATTCAGGGACAGTATCAAGTGGTCCAAAAACGCCACATCTTGGCGGCGGCGCTCACGGAAACCCGCCAGTAGGTTGAAGGCTGAGCTTCCTAGAGGCTTCATCAGACTGTATACGCAGCGATCAGGGACAGAGTGGACTCTGCTGGAGAAATCGATGATGCTGGAGGCAGTCACAGTGCACACGTCAGCGGCTCTTACGCACCTGATGGAGAAGGAAAGGGATAGATATTCTGTCTTTTTATTTCTGAGAGAAAAAAACCTCTCAGAAAGAAAGGTGTTTTATTCTATGAAGATGACATTTCCAGTTAATATAACTTTGAGGAAAATGAATCCTCACTAGAGTGACAGGACGATGTGTATTAACTTAACTAAAAGCAGAGGGCAGTGCTATTGTGACAAAGACAAATACAAACCTAACCACAGATACCATACAAAGGATCTGAAAAATCCCTCAGTGACCTTAGATTAAATAAAACCTCTGTGGGGGGGCCCTGGTAGCTCAACTACAGAGCTGGAGCTCCATGTACCATGAGTCCATGCTGCAGCAGGCCATGGGTTCAACTCCCTCCCCTATCTCCTCTTTCCTGTCACTCTACAGCTGCCACTATCGATTAAAGACAATAAAAGCCTCCAAGAGTATATAAAAATAGAAAATCTCTAGATCTTGAGACAGTCATTGGATAGAAAAATGCTGTATATATATGTAGTTATTATTTTTATTCTAATTATTATAAATGGTGTAAAAGACGTCTTTGTTGTGAAAAAAGAGCAGAAAAAAATCAATATACTATATACAGTTAGTCAATGAATCAATAAGGTGATTGACAATGAATTGGTTCCCTCTTCTCAAAAGACTTGAAAACATCATCCTCAGTTTCTGGCTACATTAGCCGCTACTAGCATAAAACACCTGACTCTCCAAAAGAACGGTCAGCAGTCGAGTTGCATTGTGGGAAATGTAGTCAGCAGGCTTTGAAGGATGAAATCATACTTACATGTTGTTGCCGATGCAAGACTCCTCTGATCCACATGTACTGACACTGACTCCAGATGATTCAACTGAACAGACCAATTGGGAGCAGGTTTCTGAGCTGTTGAACATTATTTCTCCAGTCTTAAAACTGGCGTCTGGGAGGTGATAGGAGGTTTATGAAATTAATTTAACATTAAACTGGTGTACAAAACATAAAGGAGAGGAAATAACAATAGATCAGATGGAAATAAACATTTGCCTACTTTGGTTTCTGCAGCCGCTTATGTCCACATAAAAAGAAGTTCTATCCTTCAGCACTGAGTCCACAGTGGAGTTATCGACCGTCATATTCACAGACTAGAGAAGGAATAGACAAAATTCAAGGTTAATAATGTAATACTGTACTAACTCTGAGTGACTTCAGTTCCCCTTTTTATACATGTATAAATATTTGTCTCCAGTTTCAGGCCCGAGCATGAATCAGAATCAGATTTGTGCTGTTCATCTTATGTGGACATAAATACCCTAAAAATAGAAGCTGAGTGTCATTGTCACTGTTCATTTAAAATACTACAGAGCCAATACGACATAAATGTGTCACTGCATTACTGTTACTTCACTGCAGTGTTTATGAGCAATGAGGAACTGTTTCAAACTAAAGTTCTATGTTGTTAATGGTCCGTCAGGATGCCCCAGTTTGTACCTGTCATACATTACCATTACATGGGATAATTACCCAGCAACCATTGTAAACCCAGAAGGTCCAGAACCCACTGCACAACAAAATAGACTGTTTAACTCATTTCAACAGTTGCCATGTGTTCTTAACACATTGTTTAGTATGTAGAAACACTGGAAAGAAACATCACATTTGAATTAAATAGATGATGAAGTCTTGAAGTCTGACAGCTATCTGTTGTCAGAAATGTTTGAGGGTTCTTGTTAAAGGACCTTCTGGGCTCATTTTTAGGAACATTGGATGCTTGGGTCACACAGTGAGTCACACTGTGTTGGTAATACATGAGAGGAACCAACTGGGTCTACTCTCAGGGACCAGATTCTATAAAATCCAGTGGTGAACTTCAGGCTGAAAGTCTGAAATCACATCCTTCATTTGGTTTAAGGACAAAAGTTGCCACAGTAACAGACTCGGGCTAATCTCTGAGACCAAACGTCCATATGCCTTACATATACTTACAATAGTAGGGAGGCTAAACGGTGGAACGCAATGCACAGCCGTTTGTTGTCCAGCTTGGTATAAGGATATGTACTGAAAACATAAACAGAAAAGATACAAAACACATTAGGAAATATTTTATATATATATATTTAATATTTTACAAATAAACATTGATTTGAATTTCCCTTTGCCAATCAATGTCTTTGAAATTTGTACAAAAGGTTGAACAGTAAATCAATTAATCATATTAATGATGATAACTTACCATCTTGGTTGAGTCAGTTTTATTTTCTTTAAAGGTCAACTTTACTCTGCACTGTGATATGCTCTTTATGCTTGGCAGGTTGGTTGTAACGTTTGTTGTACCACCAATAACCACCATGGTTGCTGTGTCAGAACCACCATTCGATACGTGAATACAGTCGCTTCCATTTGAGCCTTTGAAACAAAGTGCAGTAGAAACGTTGGGTGTCTGCTCCACCTGCAGAGAAAAAAAAACATACATGAATGAGTCTGAGGTGAATTCAGGTCGGTGGGGACATCCAAACATTTTCCTCATTGTGGTGTAAAAGGGTTCAGTCCAACAGGTCCTCGTACGTAAACTACAAATGGGACGGTTTCTGACCCGTATGAGCAGTTCTGCATTAGAGAGAAGAGAGCTCACAGTGAACTGGGGGAAATAATTGGACATTTGTGGACAATATTGGGTTCCATAACAAATCTGAACCATCAGGAGATTATTACCACTGTCGGATACAACGGAAGAAAGTTCTCTTTAAATATATAATGATTGCAATTTGAAATACTGGATAGTTTTACTCTTTGAGGCTGATATGAGGATATGAATGTGCTAATGCTCTGATTTATGGCTCTGTTATTTCCTTATCATTTCCTTTAAAGATATATGTGTCGTTTTAGTCGGCTCAGTAATCTGTGTTGAGTTTGATTACTAGAGTGACAGAGGGGATTATTTCCCAGAATGTCATTAAACTATGTGTTAAACATTCACTGAAATCTGTATTCAATATAGCTAACAGTGGCTAGCAGTCAAACAGTCTGTTAGATATTAACAGTAGATGGAGAGACGGGCCTTTTCTCAAACATGGTTTAATTTGACTCACAGTCAGCGCTGTGTAATTGCGTCCATAATAGTTGATCGGACAGTCGGTGATGTTCAGTTCTGTCACAGCAGACAGAGAGAAGTCGACCTGGCTGGCAGCAACTACAGTGTGAATTTAAAAGGAAAAGAAATGAGAGACATCATACATCAATCTATCAAGACCAACTTTCTTTCTTTCCAATTCACACCTCCAACTTAAAATGACATTTATCAGTGCAATGAATTCTGGGTGTAAAAGTCTGAATGAATGAAATCAATATTTAGAAGATATTTTCCTTCAGTGTGAATGACAACATGAGGAGATTTATTTTATTCATAAATCTCTTCAGTGTATGAAACTAAATGGTCCCAACTTGATTCCTTGTGTTGATTAAAAGGAGTCCCAACCCTTATTGATTTGGACTGATTTCATGGATGAGCATATGTTATTAAAGATTTATCATTCAGGTACATTTTGTATTTGAAACAGAGAAATCTGCCATTAAACCCCACAGTCACACTGTAATGTCGGTATATAATGTGTAAAATAAAACCTCCCGTAGAGCCTGCAGCATGTTGGCTCATCAGCTAACGCCTTTAAAATAAAGGTTAGATAGTAAAGCACTTTAAACTTTCCAATGGCTCTCTTACCTGCCAGCAGGAGGAGCAGCGCACTCGGCTTCCCCATGATGGATCCCCGGCAGGAAAGTGTCTGAGCTGGGAGAGATACAGTTCACACAGTGCAGTGTAAGGGATGGTGCTCAGGGTTCGCTTCATAAAGCATTTAATGCCTTTCCTGCTGCACTGGGTTATTAAAAACACAGTCTACTGTATCTAAAATCCATTAAATTAACTCTGACTGATTACTTGGATTTGTAGCTTATTCACCAACTGCAAAAGGATCCACATGAACTCTGTTAGATGAGGCCCATGCAGTTGCATAAATGAATATAGATCCAATGATCACTATAGATCAGTGTTTTTCATTTGTGTTTTTCATCCTTTAATTTGCTATCGGCCCAGTACCCCTGACTAGTGAAATGCCTATAAAGAGGTACAATAGAGCACTGTGGCATCAGAGTCTCACTTATTAAATAAAAACTGGAATTGAAACACTTAAATGCTACATTTCATCAAATTCACAGCCAGTTTCTTGTCATTGTCCAGTAACACTAAGACGGCATTGAATTTGCATTGAACTGCAGATTTTTGAAAGGTTGCACATTTTACTGAGAAACTGAGGTTGAGCTTCGCTGAGGATCTTTGTCATCCTCGGTGGCAGGAGGCAACTCTTTTCCACAGGTTTTACTGCAGTTAACAATTGCATTGAAAGGATTGCATTTACAGTTTTAATTGAACTCATTATAGTATAATTATTTAATGAATTAATGTACTATTTTATGAATGATTGTACTGATATTCTTTAAATGAACATTTAAAAACCAATGTCCTGCAGTACTCCAAAGTGCCCCTAGGGGAGAAACACTGCTATAGATTGTGAATGCAGTCGCATTAGAGGCCATAACTCCCACTGAGTACGTTATTATGAGCGGCAGCAGCACGAGTAGTATTTCATTTGACATATTTGGAAGTTGTGTCTGATTTTTACTTTTATCCTCCAGTGAACACATTTTACATTCTGTTTGTTTTACACTCCTTTCCTGTATCAGTAGTTGACAGTTTCACCACAAATATAACAAGATTAAATTATCAACATGAAACCAAATAAATGTGAATGTGAATCATAAAAATGTCTGCCATACACGTAGCTTTACCACAGCTTTGTAAAATGTGTCACGAAGTGATCTGACACTGAAGGTGAGTTTATTCACCGTGTTGGAGCTCACA